TTTACATCAGGCAGCATCAGATGATGCTTTGGCCAAAGTCAGATTACAAAGACAAACTGTGTGAAATATAATTGATTGTAGAATAAGGGAGGTAAGGCTGAAAGTAGCTTCTGGCCTTAAAAATTCATAGGGAGAGAAACCTCATCTTACCTTCTTTGATTTTTAAACTGTATAAGGCTGTGCCTGCTGCTTAAAGCAGGAAATCAGAAGCTGATGCTATCCTGTTTCTTTCCTGGCAGAAAGTATGTCTCTCAGCTCCTTTCTACAGCGGGTAAGCCAAGCCTGCCATCCACATCTTCCCGTTGCCATGACTGACTCCTCTTCCTCTTCTTTTTCAGTGAGGAAGAGAAGACTTGCGGAGTTGAACGGGCCTATTTTTCCCAAGTGCAGAACTGGAGTGTAGTTCCTGGCTATGGAGGTGATTCCTGGTGATCTGTGCTACACTGTGGAAATCTAAAGGCAATAAGTGCCTTGACAGAGTATTTGTGGTGCCTCGGTTCTGTTTTATGCACTAACAGTTTAAATTAACTAGTGGCTGTAGTTGAAGATATTATCCAGTAGGACTGTTGATGTTTTCTGTAGAGTTGGAAACTATTCAAGCCAGTAACAACCTGCCAATTTTATGCAATCTCAGTTTAGAGTACATCCCAGTGTAAAAGTGACTCTTAATTAACCTCGGACCTAATTTTTCTATAAACTTCCTGCATGGTGTTTAATGCAGTTAGGATGTGGTATGCATGAGTGAAAGATACAACTGTTCCACGCAAATTATAGAAGTATTAAAAAAATACTTTATTTTTTTTCCCCAAATTGATCTCAAATAACTATAGAGGAGCAACTAGTTTAACAAGCACTTCTACTACCTGGAAACATAGCTAATTTCAAGAATTGTGAATTACAATTTTTACCAACATTTGCTGAGTCAATTAGTTGGAGATGCTGTTTCAAATGCATCTCTTTGTTTCTTAGAAAAAATTGATCCCCACACTCTGATTAAATGGAACTTAAGGCCACCAATTATAAAACAGAGTCTGAAAAATTGAGCGGTTTAGGATGGGTTAATATCCTTCTATCCTATGCATGTCTGAAGAAAACAGTCACCTTCAGAGATGTGATGCAAATCCTAACCCCACAGAGATGGCCAAACTAATCAGCAAACCAGAGCCCTCTCCCCACTCCCTTCAGTTTCCTAATGTTAAAAGTGCGTGTCCAGATATTCACTGGAAACTAGTCAAATTCTCTCTCTTTGCTGTTTTGTCTAGATGACCATGTCCATTAATTAGATTTTGTTCTGCTAGGGATTGTTTCTTTTACTGCTGTCCCTAATGTCTGCATAAATGCAACAATAAATGTTGTGCCCTAGAAAAGCTGTTAACTGAAATACCCCAACTCTGAACTTACACTGCATACAGTCTGATAGTTTTTTGTCAGACAGTCTAGTACCCATCATCTAGCCTGGGAGGAATTCCTCACAGGCTTGCGTAGCTCCCAGACATGCAGTGGATTGGACCCAGCACTATCCCATCCAAAACTCCCGCTAGTAACGTGGGTGGGATCCTGCTCAGTACGAAGAGTCTCCTGGCAGAATCATTGCCGTACTGAAGCCTTATTCTTGGTCTGATGACAACATGTCCTAGAAAATGTTCTCACTTGCTAGAAATCTGTGTGTACACATCTGTTAAGAGTGAAGTTTTGCAGCCTTTTACACATATTCCAGCAAAAGTCCCACAGGTTTCTTCAGAGCTTGTGCGCAAATACCACCCATGATTTAGCTCTGACCAACGAAGCAGAGAAACACTGTACTTTCAGCAATGTGGGAAACATATTTGTTGCTCTTCAAATCTTAATAAATGCGCCAGTGGTGTCAATTAAAATGCTTCACTATAGCTTCTTCCCCTGACCCTGCAAGTTCCTTATCAGAAAATGAAAAGAATACAGAAGAAACATACTTGAAAACGTATTTAAAAAAAACCCAAACTGGCAGACAGCCTCTTTCTTCCGTACGCATTGTGAAGACTTCAAAATGGTCAACTAAATCATCAAACCGGAGTCACATAGTTTCAGCTGAGCCATCCACTCAGATTTGCATGGCACAGGCTCAGCTCTTCCACTGGCTTCAGAAGAACATAAATGAATCTTATCCTGGGAAATCCTGATGGTGCTGAGAAATCCAGACACACAAGGAGATGCATCTGCAGAGCAGGGAGCACTACCATGGATACTACAACAGCATTTTTTCCTGAATGAAAAAAAATAGCTGTTTAAAAAAAAAAAAAGGCACAAAAAAAAAAAAAAAAGCAAGGACCTTATCCTGTGTTTCATTGTAACAGCATCCAAATTAACCATGCAGCCCAAACACATATTAAGCTGGCACGATCACTCCAGCTTCCTCAGTTGATCCTTACAGAGCCGCTTTGCTGAAAGATGCATGTGAGAGCTGAGACCTGTGCAGCAGAGACAGGCTGTGCTGAGAGGCATCAGGCTTTATGGTGAAAGGCATCAAGCTGTGCAGCGATGGAGCTCCAAAATGGTGATATTTAGGAGCAAATGGATCACTGTTTGCCCCAGCAGCTCTCCACGAAAAGGGGAAAAGCCATCTGCTGACTGCAGCATCTGGCAGTCACAGCCAATCCTGCTTAACTCTTACTTCTCCTGGAGCTAATGTGCCTTCTCTCAGGCATTATACTGAGTGCCCGAATCCCACCATACAGCATTTCACGTGGCAAGTGCTTATTTGTATCAATCTGACAAAACTAATCCAGAAGCCAGGATTCAGAAGCTGCTCATGGGCCAAACTGCAAGAGGGCCAAGGCTAAGGATATCTCTTGCCCTCCTCTCCCCTCTCTGGAGCAGAGGGAACCTGGCTCAATGGGCCTCCATCTGTACCCTTCTCCTCCCTTGCCTTAGTGCAGCAAGGACCAGAAGAGGCCCCATGGCTCCCCTCTGCCTTTGAGGTAGAATCTCCAGCTGCCAGGAGCTCTCAGGAGAATTGTACCTTGTAACCAGGTCTACCACATGGCAGACAGCTAGCTACGTTTTGGCATTTACCTCTGCAGAATTAAGCACCTCCAACATACAGGTGGAGTCTATTTGTACAGTACTTTACTTTAAAAATTATGATGGAAGCACTGAAGGTTATTTATCATCATAGGAGTTTCAGAAGTTTACATATAAAATATAGTTGTTGCCATTCTGTACTAGTACGTGACTTAGAAACAGCCTTCCAAATATATTAGTGTTCCAGACTTGCTGATAGACTGAATCTTAAAATTGTGTTCTTTTTAGCCTAATATACAAAGAAAAGAGAGAGCATAATATGCAAGTTGAGGCACTCCCATCAGTGCTCTAGAACAGGCCTGCAAGTAGAGCTTGCATGTTTTTCCACAAATATTCCTCAAAAGCACAGAAGTTAACTGGACAGCAAAGCTTGGGAGGCAAGATGGCAGGGGACCATGGGTACTGCTTAGACTTCTGCTGAAGATGTCTACTAATGGGAATTTTCCAATTTCTTCTCCAGTATGGATTATGCACAGATTTACTATTAAATACAATCCTAGAAAGATTCCCAAAGGAGACATTCATAAGTTTCAAAGTTTTGCTTCATGAAAGGAATGATCAAAAAGACAGTTGCTGAACCATTGATTTCACGGTAGCAATTACTAAGAAGTAAGAAGAAATGCTTGCCATGGCTTTAACGGAACCAATGCCCATGTCTTTAAGTTGCTAGTCAAGCCAACAATGAGGCATTGCTGAATTCATACACTGTGGGAGAAAGTTACAATCTATATGAAAATAACATTGTCCTAACTGTCATTAAGCAACTGCAGAAACCTGAGTAAACTGTTTTCTTGCTTTTAAAAGCAGTTGCCAGTAAAAACCCCAACAAACCAGTAAGTGATTTTGATTTCCTAATAACTAACTTCTGTTTAGTACCAAGAAAGACAGTAAGTTTCAAAGACATTTTTCAGTCAAGACTCATCTTCTACACTATTAATAAAACCTTTCTGTACATTCTACAGCATCAGGCACACAAAGCAGCAGGCGGAGAAGTATTTTGAGCTCATACGCTGTGGATCCCTTCGAATTCAAAGACAATTTCTCCACTAATATGAGCTGGAAATCACATAAACATCTCATAGCTTTTGAAAAACTCAACCCATGTTTACAAAGCACAAATGCTCCCCAAATCTTGAATTATGTAACTTGGATAAAGGATCTTGCCGTCTCCTTATAGCTGTTGCTGACATCTATGTACACATGTCAGCATTGCTTCCAGTGCCATAATGCTGGTATTTTGACAGTCTCTGTGCTCCCCTCTCGGTGTGTCTGTTTCAACATGCTTCAAGCTGTCGGTTTTTTCTAGTGCAAGCAGAACTGAGCCCTGGATATTTCATGTACTGACAAGTTGAGCGAAATAATAGTTCCTGGGGAGACAGAGCATTGGAATGAGGATTACTTTTGCTGTTCATCTCCTACAGGTCACACACAAGAAGTATGGCTAGGCCGACAGTATCTGTAGTTACAAGAGGGGTCCTTACGCTGCCTTCAGCCATTTTTACACAGGAGTCAAGTCAGTGACTTCAGGTAACTACCCCTTGCTTCTCATTGGTATAAAGCAAGAGACGCAGGCAGATGGCGTGTACGTGGAAAATATCTTCAGCTCTAATCCAGTCATGTACGTACACCCAACTGATACGTTTTCACATCCTAGTGCTAGCTATTGAAGCAAATGCATGATCATGGAGAGGTCGGACAGATCCATCTCCATGCAGGAGGAAAAGAATGTAATTGTTCTTATATCCCTTTAGTCTCTTTTGAATTGTGAGCAGCTGTGTCCCATTGCACATACTCTGCTACAAAATCCCCATGGCAGAGAACACGCTACAAGACAGTACCCAGGGAAAGGAATCCTGTAGTGCTGGTGATGGGCTGGGCACTCTGGTAGTTTATGGTCAAGTAATGGATGGTTTTCAGGGCATACTTTAGGCTTAAAGGCAGCGTATAAACAAGACTTTCCAAGCCAACACTTTTTCATGATTTCTAAACCTAACTGACTAACAGGGATCTTGTTGTAGAAGCCCTTCGCATTACCACATGTCAGATTAGCTAATGAAACAGCTTAATCTTTTCCTGCGTCCAACATCCTTTGCAAGACATGTTCAATAGGTACCCTTGGCCGTCTCCTTGTACATTCACATTCCTCCTTAAGTGTCTGTCCTGAAGCCCTTGAAGTCACCTTGAGCTCTTTCTCTTGACAAACAGGACAGCAAGCTGTGAGACCTTTCTTGCGACAACTTGGACATGTCAGGACAAGCTGCCGACAGTGCTGGCTGGAACAAAGTTTATATTGGTCCCACAGTGTCCCACAGTATCTGCATGCTGGAGGGAGGAGGAAGAGAAAAAGTTAACACACACTTGCCCCATCTGTCCCCCTTGCAGAGGGTTCTCCATGGCACCAGGGGGCTACAATCTCTCATTTAAGTGGCTATCTATTGTCTTCCAGCTTTTTAATTCCTGCTTTAGCTTGATCTTCTAGAACCTAGTTAGTTTTTAAACTTCTGATTTTGATGTAAAAAACTTAGGACAGCTGTCTCTCGGGACAAGGAAAAAGTGCTCACTAGTGCTTCCTCTAGTTACGATCAAACAGATTTAAAGATTCTTGCTGCCAAGAGAAGAAGAAAGATATGCTGGTGGTAATTAAGCCAGTATGCAGGAACGTTGCCTGCTGGGGAAGGGGGTGCCATGGGACTTCCTTCCACCTAAAAGCAATGGCTTGTGCAGATGGGGTGTCATTTGCAGTCCCGGTAGAGTCCTCCCACAACATCAGACAGGTTTTAGCCCTTTAACTGAAAGCCACAGCCCAGTTTAGCTGTACCCCAAGACTTCCCCTTGAAACTTCAGTAGGGATGGCTGTGATGCATCCAGAGTGCGTTCTGTTTCTACACCAAGCCAGGCACCTTCAAGGTGTATACAGTAATTGCAGAGGAGGAATGGGAGGTTATGCGCAAAAAGTTACCCACTCAGAAAAAAACCAGCACTGCTTCCTAAAAAAGGCTGGAGCCAAATTCCATCTATTTGTATCTGGCAACTGAGAAGAAGAAAACAGGTATTTCATTTGCAATATCTGAAGACCAGGCAATGTTCTTAACAACTTCAACTAGTGGTACTGAAATTCTACAAGCTACAGAAACTTTTAAAGCATGAAAGTAACAAAGTGCTGTAGAGCTTAGTGCTACCACTCTCCCGGTGCCTGGTAGTCTCTGCTGATGTTCTATGAGATTACTTGAGCAGAGAACAACTGACAGCAGAACTATTTAACGCTTCGGTCACTTGGCCAACCATAGTCTGATCAGCACTGCAGGCAACAAGTGGGTAATGACACCAGTAGTGCTTGACATACATCTCCATAGCTGCAGATGGCTCATAACAGCAGCTGTTCTGCAGGGCATGCCTCCTTTTACAGCCCCAGTTTTAGGGAACTCTGTTTAGTGACCCCCTTTTCTCTCATTTCTGTTTTATGTGTTAAAGCCATAGAGTTGATGATCATCATGAAAAGTGATGGCACTAAAAGATCAAGGTGAGTATGAGGAAGAACTACACAGACCAGTTTGGCTGCCCCTATCCTGCACATCTCTGTGGAAACGATTGCAATAGCTTCCCAGCCTTCTGCACTTCTTACATTAGCTAGTCCTACCTGAGATGATATCTTCATTGGAACAAATGGCGTAACGATCATCAAACACAAACAGCTTCCCCCTGTAGAATCCATCTGGAAACTCTTCCAGGTACTTGTGAATTCCACCTTTTAGCTGGTAAACCTCTCTGCACACTGCCTGTTTAAAGCATATTAGCAGAAAAGCTGAAGGAGACAGCAGCAATGGCGGTGTGCCAGAGTTTCCAAAGCAAATGTAAATGCCAGGGGTCAACGAAAAGCAGCAGCTTCTCAGTGACCATCAGATGGCACCATGTGCACCCACAACTCTAGGCAGTGCCTACAGCAGCTCCACAAGGCTGGCTTGTTTATGTGAACCTAAATATGCTTTTTTTTTTTTTAAATGTTACAGTCAAAAACAGGCTGGTAACTTCCTCAGCTGAGGGAGGTTTGCTGCATCACAGATCAAACGCTTTTGAACCTCTGTGAATCACTGCTTATTCTGTTTTTATGTAGTGAGCTACTAGCAGGAGTAGAGTTTCCTCAGGGGTCACAGTGGTGCAGAAGAGAAAAAAAAATCAAGGTTTAAACCTCTGGAGAACATGTATGTGTGCTGTTCCCTTGCTTCTTGAGGGAAGGGTCCAGGAGAAGAGTGGGATGGAAAGCACAACTAGAACAATGGAGTGTGCTGGATTTAATTCCACAACACTGGGAAAGCACTGACTGGCTGATTTTCACCACTCTGAGATGCTCAAGCTGTGCAGCAGTGAGTACAGAGCATAACCTAGACAGAGCTTGTGGAAACACTGCAGAATGCTCTCAAGCCCTCCTAAAACACTGCTACAATGGGCAGGGCAGACTTACAAAGACCTTTTCTCAGCAAATGGGTTATATAATTATTTTCACAGAGCAATCACTGCTGTGACACTAGTCCATGCAGATCATCCTGAGCTGCATTAAGCTACTCATGTCCTTGACAGACAGCATGAGGCAAGTGTGCGTCAGAGACATTTATTTCCCCACCTGCTCATTGGTGAATTTACCAGCAAAAGAAAAGACAGCTGCCCTTAAAGCAGCCTCGACTCCCCGACACTTGTGCCCTCAGAATGACATCTCACCTTGCTCCGTAGGTAAGCAGAGCCTCTTTCACAACGAATCCCTCCTGTGCAGTACATCAGGACACGCTTGTCTTTAAAAAGCTCCAGGTTTTCATCTATGTAGCTGGGAAAATAGCTGAACTTCCTGATATCTGGAGCCAGACAGCCCTGGAAATGTCCCTGCAATAACAACAGATGGCCACGCGACTGGTTACAAGCAGTCTTAAATGGTAAGGTCTGTGCCTCAAACTAGAGGAAGTAACAAACCTTTGGGCCAGAACACTCAGCTCACTGCAGCTGCCTTAGGCAATTCCTCAGCTGCATTTATGCATCAAAATACCTGTTAAAATCTGTAAGAGGATTCTGGACACAGCATGTCTCCTCATCCAAACATAAAAGAGGGAGCTAAGCAGAACAGAACTGCCAGAGCCACAACAGTGCAGAAGGGCTGCTGGGTGTTACAGCAGGATGCCCCTATTCTTTTTGACACATAGGACAAGGCAAAAATGCTGGAAAACATCCTTACAAATGATGCTACTTTTACTTCAAATTATATGGTATTCACTGCTAATGTTGTATAGACCACTTTGTCTTCCTCCTGCCCTAAGCTGTATAAGCACTTAGCCAGGCAGGCTCCACGCCGAGTCGCTGAGCAGGTCCTCTGCTGCTTGTGTCTAAATATTTATTACTAAACTGAATTTTGTACATATTACAAAATATGTACTTAGTCAGTCTGGAATATGGAATCTCTTCTTCCAGTAACCTTCCTCCAGTAAGGTTACACCCTCACAATGTGAAATGCTTCCCCCCAGCATCTGTAACACACTGCAAGAAGCAGGCAGACAACACTTACTATTTTGCTTTCATAGAAGTTCCTACAGTCCAGCAAGATGGTATCGCTTTGTCCTTGACTGGCCTGAGACAAATACTGTTCTACTTCTCTATGAAATTCCTGAGGGGATAAATGGATTCCTTTAACAAAAAGAAAGAAAAAAAAGAAAAAAAAAAGAAAAATAAGAGAAAGAATTGAGAAGCTGAACTACAAAACAATGTTACATATGATCTTGCTGATCTAGATTCTTCGCAGATTTCCAAACAAAAATTTTCTGTGACGGTTCACAGATTTTTCATCCCAACTCAACCAGCCAAGTTTGTCCATGTTTGGCTTCCTATTGGCAAATGAAAGAAAACACAACACTTCCACATGACACAAGAAGCAGCAGACAGGCGCCTGTCTCTATGATCTTTGTTATGTCCCCCTGGCAACTCTTACAGTTTTAAAAGAAAGAGTGGAAAATGTTTCCCTTCCCTTTGCTCATCTTTCATTACATTTGGAGGCACAGAAGCGTACAGAAATGCAATTTTTTCAGTTAAACTCTTCTCTGTTGATAAAAATGGAAAATTTCCATGAGCATATATTACTTTCAGTACAACTTCAATTTACATAAAGTTTCTCAGCTTTCAGGTTGCTCAGGACTTAGGACTCCCAACGTACTGAAAACCAAAAAACCTCCCCCACCAAAATCCCTTACTTTATTAAAAAATAACCCTACAAGCAACCTGCCAGAGTAATGGGAACCATCTCCATAAAATGCTGTAAAATAGGAGGGAAAAGGAAAAAAAAGAGCAGAGAAATATCCAAACATACATCCCACAAACTGCCAAAAAATGGGGGGAAAAAAAAATCCTCTGCCAAAACCACGAAAAGATGCTGTAGAAATTTACCACCAACAAAACCTCTTGGTGGAAAAAAAAGACCGAAACGGCTCTGTTAATTGCTATTTGCTGTGCTCCCGCTTATCACCTACGTAAGTGTCCTTATAGCAGATGCATAGCCAGTAACATCTTATGGGGCATAATCCATTCTAAGCAGCTACAGGTAGCAGAAAACAAATGCAGCCTGTGTTAGGGGAGTGGCATGAACACGATGCAGAACTTGGCTCTGCTTTAGTGTAAAAGGCAGGAGCATGGCTGTTAGCTTCAATACAAGTAAAGCCAGGTCAGCAGTCCCTAACATAGGACTCAACTGTAAGCTTCAGTGGGATTCTAGCATTTTCTAAAAAAAAGCTCTCAGCATCCACAGCACTAGAATCCCCTGGATCCACAAGAAGACTCCATGGAAAGCTCTTCCTATAGAGTTTGGTTCTTACTGCAAGCTAACCACAACGAGAGAGCATTGGAGCTCTTTATATGGTATCATTTCTGAGCAGTCTCAGGCACCTACAGAATATTTAGAACAAATATGAACCTATTCATGCATTGAAATGTCTTTCCTAACCATCATACATAGTTTCACCTTACATCTATCTGTCTTTAGCAGGTGTCCAATGACTTACTCCCTGACTAAGGCACAAGGTATGTCCCTACCCCAAAACAAGGTAACTGCTTGATGTCATTTGAACTGTTACTATTTCCCACAAAACAGAAAGTTAATTCTAAGGTTTTTTTGCGGCAGCTAAACACTTAGCAAACCAAAACCTGGGCCAGCAAATTCCCTGCACCAATAACTCCTAACTATCAGTAAGAAATCAATTTCCGTATCTGCTTCTCCTGTGTCTTGGCCACTGTGCAGAAAGAAATGTTTTTGATGAGGGTACTTTATTCTTCACTTACCTCTCACTTGGGTGAGAAGCTTTATTTTTCATTAAATCAACTTACCAGTTTCTTTATAAGACACTATCTTTGGATCAATGCCCATAGGTACAATTTCCTTGAATACTCCAACTCGAAGATCTGGAAAACAGTGAGCTCCTCCTGCACTGCTCTAGGAAATTAAACATAAAAACAATCCACCAAAATTTGCCAGGTGTCAAGATCAAAATTACCCACTCACTTTAATTTCTACAACTCACTAGAATATTAAAGTGTCTCGGTGGCTGAGGGAAAGAAATGTCTCTCCCACTGAAATCCACACTCTATATCCCGAGGCTTGGGCAGTGGACCCCTACTGTGACCTGGCAGACAGGTGTCTCAGGCCCAGTGACTACTCTGCAGGTGAGACAGGCACCATTTGGCATGAGGTGCCGAGTCACCAAGGAGTGGGAAGGAGAACAGTTCTTAGTCAGAAACAATGTCACTAGCACCTATAATGAGAAAGTCAAGGCCCCTACAGAGCATGCTGATCCTGCAAGGAATATTAAATGACCTCTTCCAGTAACAGATCATGTTGACACATCTGGGCCCTGCAGTTCTCTTCAGCCCCTCTCATGCCTGACACAAGCACAGCTAGGTCTCCAGTCATGACATGTGTGATGGGAACTGCAGCGGTTCATGGGCGTGAAAGAGACATATGGGAGGTGAGCCAGGCTCAAGATTTGTTAACACTGGAGACTGACACCCCTCGCCCCCCCAAACTCAAGCACAGGATTTCCCCTTTGGAGGTCTTGGGAAGCCCTTTTCAGTAGGCACCCCCACTGCAGGCCACAGGAAGTGAGAACTTCTGCAGGGCTGAGCCTCGAACATGGCTTAGGTACTATCAAGCATATAAACACTCAAACAAAAGCCCAGTGCTGTGCAGCACTGTCCCAGCTATTACGGAAATCAGTCTGCAGCAACTACAGTGGCCACTGAGTATTTTCATAGCCCCAAGTGCAATTTTCACTCCTCTATGCCCATGTCTTCATGGCACTGGGACCTGAAACCCCCACTTACTTGGGTATACAGCATGCAGAGGATATGTGACACATGAAATACCATCGTGTGCTAATGCATGAATGTTGATACCCAGAGAGATCACGCAGGGTTGGAGGTTTTGCCACGGTCAAGGTAAAACTCCATCCCTGTTCTGTTTTTGCGTCTATTAACAGATCTGTGACTGTAACTAACAGGTCACATTTACTCTTGAAATTCAGCCAAGCACAACAGATAGTTAAAAAGCTAAGACTGAATCAGCACTGCAGCTCTACATGGGATTTGAGTTTCACAAGTTTCACTAACTCCTTTGATCTAGTTATTTATGGAAAAAAAATAGTACTCCCTGCAAATAAAACTGTCTGGAAAAGAAAAATGCTATAAAAGCGGCAGCTCTCCTTCCTCACAGAGAAAGCAGTACCTACAGTGCTGGGGCAGCAAAAGCTACCAGAATGCCATATGGTGCCAGCCACAGCTGCCATCACCATCTGAAGACAGCAATCAGCACATATGCTCAGGCTCAAGCAGAAGTTAGCACCTCACTCTCCCTCCAGTCAGGCACTAACTGGAGTAGGGAGAAACCTCTTGACTCTGCCTGTGTATTTTCCCTAGAAGACATCCAATTCATGGAACTGACAGTGCACCTATACAGACACCAAAGCCCGCGTGAACCTAAACCAGTAGGATCTCAAATCAGGATGAAGAGGAGAGTGTGGGAGTAGTTTGCTTGGGTAAGTGTGCATTGTGATGCCTTGGTTTTGGAGTCAAGTTGGAGTAAATCTTGTTGAAGAATGGTGGGGCTGAAGCACACTCCCTCATTCACCTGTATGGGGGGCTTTGCAGCTGCACCCATAGCTGCCAAAGCTCGTAGCAGCCGCTATCGCTGCTCATGATAACTGCTACTGCTGGTAGCAGGTGAAAACCAGCAGAGATATCTAAACAAAGTAAGTTTAGGAACCCTTGGCTTAGATCAGTGCTAGGAGAGCAGAACTACTAGAGCCCAAATGATACTATCAAGAAGCAATGTTCTTATTTCTCGAAAAGTAAATGTCCTGCATTAACAATGTCTATGTAGAAATTATTTTTTCATACCTTGAAATCCTCTTGACACAAAATGTCTTTGAACAGAGGCTGGGAAAGCATAACTTCAATGTAGAGATTGGTAGCTACTTTGCTTCCACCAACTGTCCCATTAATCCCTTCTGAAGCAACTCGTACCTAGAAGGCAAAAGGAGAAGCTGGGGCTAAGGCTTAGTAACAGCAAAAACAGATCACAGTGAAATTAGCAAAATATGACTGGGTGACAAAAGGCAGACACAGAAGTATGTTCACAAAAGAGACCACTGAGGAAGGAAGGAAAAGATGGTTATACTGAAGTTCAACATAAAGAAGGCAATAAAAAAATAGGAATAAAACCCCAGTAATCGCTGTTGAGCCATTTCAGAAGAATGACATCAAGACAGTCAGAAAAGTTTGTGCAATAAACAGAGAAATTCTAACTGGTTAAGAGGCAAATCCTGCAGTCAGCATTAAAATTCCCACTGGAAGTCTGCCTCAGGAATAACAATGGGATCGTGCTCAATGACTCACACTGCTAAAAGCAAAATGTGAATATGCATAATATTGCATGTAATATTAAATTTCAGTGTGAGTCATTTTATCTCCAGCACTGACAAATGAACAAAAACGCTGAAGTGGTGGAAAAAAACCCCAAGACTGAATATAAGAGGCAAGGAAAAAAACAACTGGTTGAGAAGGCAAATGCTGTACCTGTCTTGGAGATGAAGAAAAAAAAAAATTGAGAAAATTACCAACCACCAGACAAAATAGCTGAGCAAAAAAAGACGTGAATGCGTCAGGACACTTCACCCCCAGACCTGGGTGATCTACCTGTGCCGATGTAGAACAGGGAAGATGCCTACCATTGGCAGAGAAAAAGAAGCTACTTAGGAAGACAAGTCAAATATAAAAGTAGTCTCCTGCTCTGAGTTGCTCTCTTGAAAAATCCTTCTCCCCACAGATAGCCTAGGAACATCAGCTTCGCGAGGCTAAAATTCACCTTTGCCCACAGCCTCAAAAGGCCAGCTAGATGAGCCAACTCACGTCCTTGGTTTAGTCTGCCAGGAATAAAAAGAACAAAGACTCTGTGCAGCAATGAGCACTGCTATCCTATAGTGTGGTCTAAGGTGTCAGCTGCTCTTATCTGATTTGTGACAGTATGGATTACAGCTCGGTGTAGTGATTCTGACTGGAAGACCATTGCGCATTGAGGAGTTAGTGATACACGTAACAGTTAAGCGGAGCAAGCTCAGACCCATACTGCACAGCGCTGCACCTCCAGCTTGGCCTTCAGGTTGTGTTGTGCTGCACGTATCCTTTAGCCGCAGGATAAACCCAGGCCGATAATCCTAACAGAAATGGCTGCATGCAGCTCCCTGTTGACACCAGTGATTATGCCACCTGTGTGTCCTTGCCTTTATCTAAAAGTGCATCAACAAGTTTTCATGTGAATATCCTTCCTGTTTGTCAGTAGGAGTGATGAAAAGACTTGTTTTCATGTTAAAAAAAAAAAAAAAAATCTGTAACAGTTTGAATGATGGAGTAACCCTTGCAAGGTCAGGGTCTGCACAGTGTGCTGTGCGTGGAGCAGAGGCTCGCTCAATGCTGCACGACTCAGGGTTCCCAGCATCGAAAGGGATATAAGATTATCTGTATTATTTTCTTTTTCTTTGTAGTGTTAGCTCTTAAATAGCATTTTAAATTATACTTTACAGCGTCTGAGTGCCTTTCTCAATGGGCTCATAACAGACTAGCACCTTCTGCTGCAAAACACTTGGTTCTCTACATGCCCCTGCTCTAAGCAAAGAAGATGTTTATTTGTTGAGAATACAACCATTCCTTAAATCCTTACCTTGCCAGTTGAGAATACAACCATTCCTTAAAAACTCACCTTGCCAGTGAGATGCAGATGCTGGCACAGAGCATTCTGCCAAGCACAGAGTTTTTCTGGATCCTTCACCTCACAGTAACAGTAATACAGAAGTACTTCTCCCACCTTGCTGTCCATAGCATGGCAAAGATGAACAAATAGGAATAGGATGTTAGAGTTGAAAGCAAAAAATATACTATTAGCAGTACCCATTCAAAAAGCAGACAATTTTCTTCTGGCAGATGCGGGGAAAAAACCAAACCAAAACAAGAAACAAACTTTGGAGGGATTAGCACTGCTGGGTTTGACTTATTTCAAAGAGAAAGAATATGAACTAAAAAAAGCTCCCACGTATGAACTAAAAAAAGCTCCCACGCTCCCACGTGGGTCTGCTCCCACGAACAGCAGACATCCCTGTGCTGCATGGGACGTCTCTGCCAGTGGCCTACAGTGTGCTCTACTCAAGTTTCTCTCAACATACAGGGCACAAGAACTGCTGTCTTCTGTGCACACAAGTGTCCTGTTAAATGCTTACTCTGACAAACTTGCACACTGAAAATTCAAGTGTTTGAGCTATCTTAATTTAAAAAGCCAAAATTTTCAGTGAGACTGTGTGTGCCTGCATTCTGAGCAGCACAAGCTGAACTCTCTCACAGCCAGAAACATGTTCGTGAACCTACTTATTCATAACTAATGAGCCCGTAAGATACTTGAACAAGCAGAGAAAAGGGACCTGCGCAGAGCATACCCTGCTGTTCTGCTCTCTTCTGTTACGCTCCTTCCTCACTTACGGATCTAAGCTGTCGAATAACACCTGTACAGGTCTGCTTTAACAATGTGGGAAGATACAGCTCTGATAGTTCAATCCTCCCACCTTTACCACTAAAAAAAATGCAGCATCTCTACTTCTTTATCAGCCCAGTGGTAATTTGCATGTTTTGTACAGGCATGAGCAGTTGTGGAAGGAATTCAAATAAACCAAGTGACTCCTGGAGGGTACCTACACCTGTTGATCTAAAGAAGTATCTCAGGAAGGTATCCGAAGCATCTGAAGATCTAAAGGAATATCAGGGAAGACTCCTTCTATATCTTAATCACTTGACTGAACTTCATAAAAAAAAAAAGTAGTACTGGCAGAAGATCGAGTAAAGCGTAAGCAGGCCAACACCCCACTCCCAGCTAGTAGCGATCCTCCAAACCGCTGAGGGACTTTCTTACCTTGTCAGATCATCATAGCTAAGGTGGCTTGTGTCTGGGAGCGTACCGGAGATGTCAGGACTGCTAGGAGAGCGCCCATTTAGCCCGCCGGCGTTGCCCGCAGCAGC